CTCCTGCGTGTGTGACCCCCCCCCGCCCCCCACGTGCGGCGGGTCCTGTGGGGCCTGGTGTCGGTGCACAGGGCGGGTCTGCAGTTCTGTGTTTCCGTCGGGCTTTGGTGCCCGGACCGCGCTGGCCTCCTAGAGAGTGAGTGTGATCTCTCCTCCTCGTGTCGGAAACGGAGGAGGGTTCGTATTAGTTCTTTAAATGTCGGGTCCAGAACTTTTTAAAAAAATATCTATATTTGTATGGATTTCAGGGAGGAAAGGAGAGGGAGAGGGAGAGAGGAACATCAGTGATGAGAGAGAACCATGGATCGGCCGCCTCCTGCGCGCCCCTCACTGGGGATCGAACCCGCAGCCCGGGCCTGTGCCCCGCCCGGGGGTCAAGCCGTGACCCCGGCTCACAGGTCGACGCTCAGTCCTGAGCCCTGGGCCAGGCGAGAGCCTTCCTTCGTGAGAAGGTGCTGTCTGCTCCCCCGCCCACGCGTCCGCGACCCCGACATTGTGTTTCGTGAAATGTTCACGGGACTTTGAATGTGACAGACCGGCCTCGGGTTCGGTTTGTGACTACGTCCGTCTCCCATTTATTTATTTAAAAAAAAAAAAGTTCCGTCGTTTCGACGCGTGTCCATCTGTGCTGTGTGTTTTTTATTTATTTACTCACCACAAGTGAAGGCCAGGAGTTGTTCTCTTTCTTTCAAATTGTTTTCCTGTTTCCCGTCGTGACGGCTGAGTGTGTGCTCCACGTGGGTGACGTGGGCGACGTGGATGACATGGGTGACATCAGTGCTTATATAGGTGGGTCCGACTGACAGCGAACGCATTACGTCACCGTGGGAACGCGTCTGCCGTTGCCCGAGGGCCTGCTGTGCTGTTTGATTTTATTCAGCCGATGGAAGCGGCCGCTGGATGGGAGGCCCTGGTCGCCGCGTTTCCCGGTGAAGGGCGCGTGGGGCCTCCTGGATGTGCCTCTGGGTGTCGCCCACAGTGTCCGGTGGGTGAAGGGCCGTCACCCAGGCTGCCCGAGTGGGAGGAGGCTGCACGCGATTCCAGGCCACATGGGAGCCGCTGGGAGCGGAGTTTGAGCCCAGAGCTCGGGCCAGGGCCTGTGCTGTGAGCACAAACGGTTGATTTTGTGAGCTGGGTGCCTGCTCCTC